GGCACGCTAAGATAACTGCTGGCGGAGCTGTCTCAAATTCCTAGGCTGCTGCTCATGCGAGACGTTTCAGATTTGTTGCTTCAATTCGAACTTTCGCATTCGAATTTTTCATTTTCCACAAGGCCCAAAGGTCAAAATATTTTATGTAAACCATAAAATAATACAAGATTGAAGTTAACTTCTTTAAAATTTTCAATAATCCCGAAAAAATAGCAAATGTCTTCAAAGAAATTTAATAAGCCGTTTGAGTCGATTTTTTCGCCAATTTTCAAACCGAACTTTGGCTAAAACATTTATATCTCGCCCAATATGAAATGAAAGATCTAGCACCGTATACCAAAATTTAGGTTAGCATTTTCTTAATACTGTAAACTTATTTGAAAGCCATACCTGGTATAGTTTTTGTATCTGCGAAGCAGATATATATGCTATCGCAAACGTGCCGTTAATGTTACCGTACCGTATGTTAACATATAGCCATTCAGCGATGAGCTTATATAATTTAAGCCAATTTAAGCAAATTTAAGCCAATCAGCGATTCGTTTACATCAATTGTTTACATCGTGCCCGCATCTAACCTGCGAACGGGCATACTTTGGCCTCGTCAGGCCTCGTGTATAAATCGTGTTTATATTCTTTCAAAAATATCTTGATATTTTTATCAATTTAGACCACTACAAGTTAATCTTTAGTTTCTGGTCCGGCCTTACCTTCGTTTACGACGCGGGCGGGCGAGTGGTTAGGACTATAGGACATAATTACCATTGTGGCTTTGCCCACATTTTTGTGGTCTTTCTTGTGCCTTTTCATGCTAATGGTATCAAAATGTTATGAAATTTTACATAAATTGCATTTATATTATTTATAAATCGACATGTATGATAGATTACAAAGGATTTTACATATCAAAATGATCTATTAATATTTCTAGTTTTTTTACCTCGTAATCTCGATAAGGCAGCGGTTTTTACCATTCAATACTACATTTTGCTAGGTCTTTTTAGTGTAAATTGAATATTTATCGTTCTATAAGTTAAATCCTTCGCGAAAATTTTCAAGAACTAGAAATTAATCGTAAATAACAAAATAGTCCTGAAATAATACTTTACGGAGAAAGGACGCGGGCGGCGGACCAGAAACTAAAGATTAACTTGTAGTGGCCTTATCTTGAATCGGCATTCTACTTGCGATATTATTCCGAAGTTATTTATCAACATGGAATCTTATCCTCATCTGGTAAGTAGCCAAATACCACATATTATATATTTAAATACCAAATTTGTGCAAATATATGTCCCACATATTTTATATTAATACATGAGTTCGCCAGTTCGGCAAATATTTACTATACTATCTATAGTTAATATTGCCGTATCTTCGGCGTAGAGTTTACATGGAATGCACTCTGGAATTTTTTATTAATATATTACACTGTATGAAATATTGGATATTTTCGAGGACATTTTAAGCCATTTGTCATCATAGTTCACAAAAAGATTTATACAGTATTAAAAACAATCCTTCTGTGACTTCTGTAATATTTTAAACAGTGAAAACATAGCAGGCAATATTGCCAATTAACAATATCAAAGGAACCCCAAAGGAATTAGACAGTTCTCAGGAGATATTGAATTAAATTCTTGTCCTGTATTTCTGTATATTGACTCCATAACTCTGTTCAAAACAACAGTCCAACTATAAAGCTGTCATCAAATGTAGTGTTAGAGCAAAGGTTGAAGATGTTATCAGTTAAAATACTTATACGTTTTGGTTTTACACATTAGAGTTAATTAAACAAAATTTTTACAAACATTTTCAAATAAAAGAATCCTCACCCTCCCGAGCCTCATTACATTGTCATTTTGCTTTCTAACATAAATATTTTTCTTTAGAGATTAATACAAGAATGATGAATAAATGTACTGGATATTGGCTGGATAATTTTGTCAGAACAACCAACTTGCAAGACAATCTTACCTAAATTCATTAGTATGGAAAATAACTTAACAGCTACAATGAATAATCATATATTATATGGTGGATTTGATCAATGGCACACAATGTACAAAACTAAACTTGTGATACCTTCTACTCAAACCGTTAATCTTCCACAACACAATTGTTTTTGTGTGAATGTGCTGTATTTGTTAAACCGAACAGTGTGGTATATCATTAACTGTGCACAGAACGGGAATATAATTATATACTTCACTCATGACCTTCAAAACATTCTCAATTGTTCAGTGGTCTTCGACATGTTCACCAAATATTTTGTGTATGTTACTCAACAGTTAACATTGGCAAGTGTAAACAACAAGTGACATAACTTTTGCTTCATATGATTACAATAAAGTTTTGAAAATTTGATGAGTATGGATTGAATTGACAGATGACAGTTTACTAAATAGCCGGCTGTATAGACACTTTGAATATATTGTTTGCATGAAATTTTTATTTCCTGACTGCATAATTATCTGTTACATTCATAATCACATTATAAAGTTAGTTAAATTTTCTCAGCAGGGGGTGGGGGGGGGAGCGCTTGCCCTGCTGCACTCCCCGCTGTGTACAGCCCTGTTTTAAATCTTATCTGCTATTATAATAAGTGATGAAATATTTCAATTGTCCCATGTCATCTTCATTATTCAGTTTCTTTCAAGAAAATACAAAATGTGAATCAAGTTTTTTCGCAGATACATGTACGCGTCGCGTACCTATTTTTACATTATATTAAATCAAACACCGATACCTTTTTTTGAGACACCCGGTATATATATATATATATATATATATATATATATATATATATATATATATATATATATATATATATATATATATATATATAAACAGTTTTGTTTTTCGTTATAGATAAAAGAGTGCTCAATACTACAAATTACAAATGCTTAATTATATATATATATATATATATATATATATATATATATATATATATATATATATATATATATATATATATATATATATATATATATATATATATATGTTTTACTGACACGTGGTTTACTTACACGTTCATATGAATGACCGGGTTCTTTCCATGCATATCGATCTTTAAGAAATGGCCTCAAAATTTAAATTTGAAGCTTGATTGTGATAAGCCCGGTTCGAGTGCATATAATGAAGCTGTAGCTAGCGGTCTGCCAACTGTATGAAATGTGTTAAATTAAGTTTACAGTCATTCTTATAAAACCCATAAAGCCACATCTGCGTCATGACAAAATGCTAAAGAGACAAATTTGTTTATCTTTGGATTTGATATGGAAATGGAAATATTGGGAAATAGAATTTACATAATTATTGCAGGGTCTTGTAGATGGAAATTATCGAGTGGAAATTTATATGCAATTATTAGACCTAACCAGGAACAGTTGCGAAAAATACAACCACAGGTCCCTGGCAGGAATGAAACCTGCGGCCCTGCATGCGATTCCGGTGCAGCGCTCTAACCAACTGGGCGATATAGATGCCAGTTGGCGAACTTTGAAAAGGACGTTGCGAGAAAGTCTAATGTATATTTTGGAAAATGAGGAACTATATAATTGTGTAACAAATGACTATATACATTCCATGCCTTTATCTGTTCCATATTTTTTGGACTTAGGCCTAGATCCTGAATTACAATCGCAGTACACGCATGTATGCCATAACGTACCTATGTATTGGAAGAAGTGCTCCTTTTTTAAAATGATTTTATAATTCAGGAAGGCAAAAATAATCCGTTACTTTTAATTTTTTGATTGGATTCAAAATTGCTTAAGAACGTGCAGTAGGAAATGGTGCTGCAGTTACCTTAGAAATTGTCCAAAATTTTCCCTGGGAAGCATGCTTACTTCAGCACCCCCCCCTCCCCCCCCCACAATTATTTGTTTCTTATACGTTGACATTGCCCATCAGGTTATGTTATCTCCCAAAAACCCCCAAAAAACAACAAAAAAACAACTGGATATGCCAATGATAAGTGCCACTATTTGGCAGTGTCTCACCCCAATTTCGAGATGCTTTCGCGGCGGAGTGAAACACGTGATATATACCTGCCTGGGTGCAGTGCATGTTAATGAAAAAAATTTCGACACATGTTTCTTTGAAAGAATAGGTTGTTGAAAATTTAAAAAGTGCGTAACTACTGTATGTTATTTTAAAACACGCAGTTCTCAGTTAAAAGTTAAGCATGTTTTTGACTTACTAATGTGTAGTATTGGCCTTTGAAATGTTTATAAATTTTCGACTTGCGAACAGAGTAACAATTAATTACAAATTTTAATAATCATGCATGAGTTAATTAAAAAATAGGCGTATAGGGTAGACAACTGTACGCCGAAAAATGCTTGACGTACGGCTCTCTAAGGAAACGTACGATAACGTACACTTATACTACAACTACTTTGTATTTAGTATAGCTTTTTAGGAATGTCTTTACGTGCATTTTGCGATCCAAGTTGGCGTCGTCTATTTCCCTTCTCGCTACTGCGTTTTGGCAAAAATATACCGCAGAATTGAAATATTGATGCAGACTCACAGCTATAAAATTAGTCTTTTATCCATTTGACTGGAATTTGCTGCTGTGCTTGTAAGAGGCTCATCTTATTGATTATTTGTGCTTTAAAAACTCGGCAAACACTCGTGAACCTCTTTTTGCTTCTTATTTACAGGAAATAAATATACAACTTACAGCAAACTTGGGAGAACTTACTAGTTTGGAGAATCGTACGTCAACAACTTAAGGCCTGACAAAAAATAGCCTGTGGGTCCGGTTACCTGACCGACGGCATTGACTCTCTTTATCTCTGCCGACTCTAATGTCTTCTTGGATGTGGCTGTCTAACGTCTGCAGCCATGGTCGTATAATATCTTTTAGTTTCTCACTTTCTCTTGTGTAAACCTTGCCACGTTTGCTACCTGAGGTAAATTAAATTAGATTGGGAGGAGGTGTCTGTATGTGTTTTAACAATAATCAAGTGGTCTTCTTAATCGTTTTAGGGCAACAGATAACATCCTAGCAATGGCCAGGCCATCAACAAGAACGATAAATAAATTTAATGTTATACAACAGTTTCAAAGGTAGAATGCTTCGATAATACCTCGTTTACTGATTTAGTTTTAAGCCAGTGAATGGCTATTGATAGTGAAGTGAAGCAAAGTGAAGACTATATTGATATTACAAAAAGGTTCATCATTTGGTTCTCATGGCGCTCAGATTAGCAGAGATTAACCATCAGAACATGGCGCTCATGTATGGAAGATTTCTCCAACGCTGTTATTTTAGAATATAATTTTTGCTTTATTTAGATGGGGCATAACTGCAGTTATCAATTTACAGCATCCAGGTGAACATGCAAACTGTGGTTTTGGCTTGGAGAACAGTGGTTTTACATACAATCCTGAGGCATTTATGGATAATGGAAGTATGTTTACCTACCATGCAGCCTGTTACCTAGGCGCTTAATTGTAAAGTCCAGCTGATCGCGCGCGTATGTGGTTGGGATGGTTGCGAGGACGCACACCTTGCCAACTGCAGATTTAGGTACGAAGGTGTTTAATTTCCTTCAGTATCCACTAAAAATAACACCTTCGAATGCTTCGAGCTGATGGAATATAAGTAGATGACCCCCCATATACCGTAACAAAGGGATGCCGCCGCGCGCTGATTGGCCGAGCCTAACAAGCGTGTCTCAGAGTGTGACTAATGCGTGACTCACGCATTGCAAAGGGAGTAAAATATGATAATATGGGCAAATTAGCTGTTCCTATAAATCATAGCGAAACCGCGTTTGTTTACATAAACACACAGATATCTAGTATTTCGTTTCAAACGTATACACACATTTCTAAGGTAATATCGTGACAATAATTTTAATCTTTGCTTGGGCTCATCGGCATGTGGGATTTCTCTTTCCCCTAGAAAACCTTTGACATAAATGCATTTGCAGAAGATTTACAAAAAAATACCATGGGAACTGTTGAACAGATTTTATGATCCTAATGAAATGTGGCGAATGTGGAAGGCTTTTTTTAATAGAGTTTTGGATGTTCATGCACCAATTAGAACTAAACGAGTTAGAAATCGTGATGCCCCGTGGATTACATCCGATATTAGAGACTTGATGTTTCGTAGGGATTATCTAAAAAAGCATGCTGTCAAAAATCGTTCTCAAGCAAACTGGATTGAATACTGTAAACGGAGGAACAAGGTTAATAATAAGCTAAAAACATGCAAAAGAAATTACTTTGTTCAAAACCTTGAGGCGAATAAAGGCAAACCAAGAAAACGTGGAAATTGCTAAATAACGTTTGAATAGACCTACCAAAGGGACTACTGTAAATAATGTCACGGAGCATATAGAATGTCACGGAGTCACCTTCTCCTTTTCTCCTCCTCTTCTCCTTTTCTCCTCCTCTTCTCCTTTTCTCTTCCTCTTCTCTTTCTCCTCGTCCTCTTTCTCCCCATTGGAGGTGTTTGGGGGTATTAAGATGTTTGGGGGTACCGCAATGGGGTGTTTTGGGGATAACCTAATGGGGTGTTTGGGGGTACACCAATGGGATGTTAGCGGTACGGGGTGAAGAGGAGGAAGAAGGTTACACCGTGGGGGGATCATCTACCAAAATACTTGTACAGTACGTACAGTTAAGAAACTATAACGATGTGAAAAATAGGGAAAACGTTTCATTTGTTGTAAATTAAATTAAATTACACTTATTTCTTATTGTTTAGTATTTTTCTATAACTTTATTTGGTAAGTCAGACCATATCATGGACTTTATTCATAG